ACTTTAATAGCCGAAAGCAAATTTTTAGTAAATAACCTTTGGCATCAAGTATTTATAAAATTTTCACGATTTTCTAAATCACATCGCACTTTTGCCTTTCGTTTGCGCTTTGCTCACTATTCTCGAAACCAAAATAAATTCGTTGGTCCCCTCTCTGTACAAGAATTAAATCGCGCCTTATACAAAAAATAATCATCATCATAATCATTCAACAACAAAACTTTACCAAGGAAATTTCTAATGTTAAATCTGGAAAGCAAATGTTACATAAGCCAATTTTATCATTGAATCCTTTCTTGGATAATGAAATTCAGAGAGTCGGTGGTAGACTAGAAAAGCCTGACATCCCTTATGAGCATGACCATCCCGCCCTGCTACCTTATAAAAATTATGTAGTTAAACTCAAGCTTATTCAAGAACACATTAGCTTGGAACATGCTGGGGCACAAAATGTGTTGTAATCAGGAGCTGCTGCCATTGCTTTCGTTTTAGGATAGATTGCAAATATCTCGGCATTTTCCAAAGGCTGGAATCGATTTTGGTGGCCCTATTATGGTTAAGTCGTGGTCTCTATTTCCAAGGATTCAGAGACAACCTTAAAAAACGTTAATTAAATTTTTCAAAAATAAAGATTATTTAAACTTCGTTTGAAATTTTTTGATGTTTAATGAAATAAACTGGAAATTCATACCCCCAAATTTCCCACATTGGGGTGACATTTGGGAAAGGGTGCTAATACCACATTATGCGGATTGTCAGAAACGCAGTATTGACTTTTGAACATCTCTATACAGTCTTGGCTCAGATTGAAGCCCTAATAAATTCAAGACCCACACATCTCCAATGATCCCTGTGATTTTGAAGCCCCGCGTATGGCTGCATTCCCCAATAAAGACTTCTGCAGTATATCAAAAAACCGCCTAACATTCTGGCAAATATGCTCTAAACAGCAACAGTTTTAGAAACGATGGTCGATTGAATATCTCAAGCTACTGAAAATCGTCAAAAATTTAGGTATACAGTGATCTGATGGAAAAAATTCTAAATTCAAAATTGATTACCATGCATACAAAAATGAGTATGACAAATATAAAATTGAAGAAATAGCTTCAAACTACGAGGTAGATGTTTTATGTTTACTACCGTATCACTAGATAGATAGATAGATAGATAGATAGATTTATTGTTAACTATTTTTGTACAAAGTAAAAAATACAGTTTAAGTATAAAAAGTAAAACAATTGAATATAAACACTACGTTACAATATAACAACAAATATAAATAACAATACATTTTAAATACAAAAAGAAGAACAAAGAGACAAAGATAAAAACCCTAAAAGAGGTAATATCGTCTCGCTCGACATTAAATTTATCAAAATTTATAGGCTTCAATTCAATATTATTCTTTATAAAAATACACACACCGCCCTCTCTCGTATCGATCTACAATAATAAGCAGTCAGTTTGTAACCAGGTATATAACTCTGTTCTAAAAAATGTTGCCCTAAAAAGTACTCCGAAAAACACACCAGATCGAATGGATATTCGTTTAGAATTAAAGTCAGCTGATCGATTTTTTCAGACACACACAAAGAGCAAGTAATTGTACTATTGCTCCCAACTACAACATTTATTTTAGAACGTCGTTTTTTGTGTACAACATAAAATTGTTATCGCTTATCTCGTCAATCTCATCTAGTTTCATTTCTGACTGAACTTCAGCAATAGATTTAGCAACATCGGTTGTCTTTATTGTATTACATGGGCGTGACCGCTCGTCGACATTTTGACGCTCGCTCGTATTAATCACTCCAGAAGTTTGTCTATTTACCGTAATACTACTTGCGTGCAGCGAGCTGCCCAAAGATTGTGAATTAGTTTTAGATTTTTCCACTTCCTGCGGCTTAGGGTTAGTCACATTACACTACATTAGCGAAATTTACGTTTTTGTTAATGTCTTTTGTAGCGTTATATAAATTAATAAGATCAAACTGGTCGGAAATTCTCCCCTCTAGATGAGCTATTAATTTATCCCTTGTTCCTTCTTAATAAAGTTGAACTCACATTTTTGTTGTTTACATTCCGAAGATGTACAGACTGATATAACCTCACTTGCGTCTTTAAATTTTTCCTCGTCCATTTCTTTGCACTTTTCACACAAGTTTTATTTGATATACTGTAAGTTTTCACAGTCACTAAGATTTTCTGGTAATTTGAGATAATCTAATATGTCTATCAAGTCATTTTTATTCAAACGCGCGAGACGATTTACAAGTGCTGCTGCTTCGATCGCCATGACATACATACATACACTATGACATAGTATGGAATCAAGTAAAGCGATATGTGGCAATAAACAACTTCGATTTCAATACAAAAGACGTTCGTTCGTTGATAGATAAAACATTTCAATATCTCACTAAACAAAAAACCGAAAAGGAAATATAGCCCGCTGATAATCTCTAAGACAAAGTGGGATGTACTTATTATTAGCGTAAATTTTTGCGACAGTTCTCAGCACCACATTGACATTACTGATCTCGACCAAGAACCAACATGTTTAAGATGTACATAAAGATTAGGTAAAGTAAAAATGTTAAGAATTTGGACCCGAGCATCGAAATTTATTTGACACCGGACCTGATGGTGACCCAAGACTCCACAAATGTCCACCTGAGGCTCGACGGGGCTCTACATTTATATGAAAAATGGTAGAAATGTAGCTGCAGGGAGTTTTCTGGAACCAGTTAAATTTTGAATGTGGTGTATGAGCAAAAAAAGGTCTGCCAACCACTGGTCTACAACCTAGAGCATATTTTTGTCAGTCATGCGGATCTACAAAACTATCCCGTATATGAACTAATGAATGAGTCAGTCATTCAAAAGCGTAAATAGGAAAGTTGTCTCTTTATATCAGTTTTGAAATGCTTCCTAATACCCTGTGAAATATGTTAATAATAATGCAGTCAAGTCACATTCCATATTCAATGAAAAAACTGACTTGATTCGCTTAAAAGGTACTACTACTCCTTCTGTCGATATAACGATATATTATTGCAAATTTTGTTTCATTTATATAGTGTGTCCCACTAGAGAACTGTGCACCCTTGTATAATCTTTGTCTATACATCGATTTCGATTAAAAGATAGGTTGAATAGATCTCTTAAAAGTGTACTAGAACCTTGTTTGCTTCAACCAAGGTCAACTGAGACTATTTAATGAAATTTTTTAAAGAATAAATTGGCAACGAATTTTTATTTAAGATTTTTTAGAATCTAACTATACCAAATTCTATAATTCTTGTACCATTTTTGTTTATGGTTTAATTTTGATTTATTTTTAATACTTTAATACTTCGCGACTTCCGATGTCACCCGTTCTAATAGAGTTCTATCTAAAGATGGAACTCTAACTTCGTGCTTAGTTTTAACACGACAGCTAAAAATTTCGGACCCTTGCTTTGTATTATAGTGATAATCAGATCACCTTAACATTTTGGAGGCCAATTAGATTCATATTTTATTTTTATCTTGTGGTGGTATTTCATTCTTCGACCTTTGTGAGGTAACCTGGAGGTTGTGCATTTTATTTGAAGCACATTCAGAAAATATGTGAAAATTTTAAAGTATTTGAACAACAAAATTTAGCTCATATAAACCATCAGCGCAATCAGTCAAATTATTTAATATTTTAAATAGTCATTAAATACTGGTAATAATCGATCGCTAAAAGACACATAACGAAATCGGTTTAATAATATCGCATGCGAAAACCTTGTGGGGCATGTACTCGGTCCAATTTATACTATACATATTTCAAAAACTTATTTCATTTTTTCCAGGCTATTAATGTAACAATTGCAGTATTATTTCTATATGGTTGAAGTCTCTAGTCCAAAGTACGATAGCTTTTTGAAGCATCTACAAGGACCTTATTAACATGAGGAACAAAAGATAATTTCGAGTACGAGCATAATTTTAGACATTTCCCATATACACCAGGAATTGATTGGTTTCTCAGATACAACAAGTGCATAAACGAGGGAGTTAAAAAGTTTACCGAACGTGTTGCATACTATACATTTTCTAAGACCGTTAGTTTTTGGGTACATTTTCGCAAAACAACACTAATACATTCACTGACATGACCGTCAGAATTGACAAACGTCAAAATTCAAAGCGTGGGAAATATCCCGAATCCGTGACGTAAAATCCCGGAAATGTCCGAAGTGGCTCGGATTCATGGGTAACGAAACTGACGTGGTAAAGTGACGCTTCCCGCACGCTAGATCGGTGGGTAATTAGGTATTTTACAGACGGGAGTAGAAAAAAAGTATTACAGTGAAATTGTAAATATAGGTTTAATTATTTGAAGAGCTTTTTATATACAACACACGGAAATTCTTGATTCTTGATTATCTAAAACGCAGTGCAAAAAATATATTTTGCCTAGCAACTCATAATTAAGACACTTCAAATTTTGTAATTCTGAACTTTTGTCTTCTGAACCTTTTATGGATCCGGATTTCTTTTTTATATTTTATATAATATTATTATACACTGCATATTATTCTTTAAAGAAAACGGTCGTTTACCAGTGGCACGAGTGTCGAGCGGTTCAAAGATGATGAACGCAGCGGCAGACAATCGACATCGAAAACCAACGAAAACATTAATAAAGTGACATAAATGTTCATAGATTATCGCAAATTAACCATCATAGACATAGCGGAGGAATTGAACATTGCCTATGGATCCGCGAAAGACATTTTGGTAAATGATTTGAATTTTCTTTGTGTAGTGGCAAAAGACCTCAATTTCATGCAAAAAAAATTCGTGTTGAATAGCGTTCACCAAATGAGCCCAGACCAGAAAGAACACATCGGTTTCAGTGAAAGAAGAAGACAATGCTGTTTTCATGGATTACAACGGTGTAGTGCACACACGATTTTTGGCAAGAAGGCAACACAATAAACAAAAAGTATTATTTGGGCGTTATGAGACGCTTGCGGGAAGTAGCAGCAGTGGGCAAAAAACCCGTGGATTTGCACCATTTGCAACAGCCACCGAATTCACCTTATTTGGCGTCCCGTGACTTCTTTCTGTTCAATCGAGTAAAAAAACCACGGTACGAAAACCGAATATAAAAAATATTTCGAAAATTGGATCAAACTCTGGCATAAGTGTGTTGAAGTCGATGGGGATAACTGTGAAGGTGAAAATATAGATTTAAATTAATAAACCTGTATTTTTCATTTTCTGAATAAATTCCGGGCACTTTGTGATCGATATGTATACATATACATATACATGTTCATTAACATGTGTACATATGTATATGTCGGCGCCCTTAGCTTTAAGTGGTTCATACTTGCTTATATTTCATTTTTGGTGTTTGGATTGTTAATATTTGACTCGAATTATTATTTTATCTAGACTAAACAATTGTAATTCTGTCATTCGTAATATTGTGAAAACACTTTGGCATTTTTCCTAAGTGAACGGAACGCGAACCGGCGAAGATAGATAAGTGATTAGATTATTTGTTTGTTTTAAGCACTATGTATTGCTCACTCTTTTAATATGTCCGGGAAGTCTATTTTATTATTTTTATTATATTATTTATTATTTCTTACGATCTCCCACGTATATGTATACAATATACAAATTGAACAGCCAGTAAGACTCAACCACGTCTGCGTGTAAACATTATATTTATTATTAATCATTTCATTGTCAAACGCTGAATCATTTAGCTATGTCTTACTTAAAGTAACCATGTCAAAATCACTCGCCGACGTTTTGTTGAATATTTCTACGATTTTGGTTAAAAGACCTCTCACGTTTTGATAGTAAATTGAAACACACTTGCCAGCTTTCTTTTTTACTACCTTCCGGTGGCTGAGTCAGAATGTAGGGCATTACTGGAGTGAAATGCATAAGATAACATAGCCATATCACAAAAATAATAAATGCTAAATTAATGAAACTAATGAAACAGTAAAATGATATCCAGAGGATACGGCCCAAAGGCAGACAACAAACTTTCGAAATTAAATTGCCCACAACGTACTTCAATAAGTTGTTCATTTTCATTTGGACTTCCTGTATATGTATTTTTAAATATTAGTCCCTATCTTCAAGAATTGAAAGTTTTAATTAAAGCGTTATTGAATAAGTTTTCTATATTTCACAACTTGCGGTCTAAAATAAATTGTTCTTTTTTATTTGGCACAAAGATAAGAAGTCTCGACCTGGCTACGTAACACCGCTCGTACATAAATCACAATGGTTTAAGGAGACCTACCACAAAATCCATTTAATTCACAAAATTTCATGTTGTTGAGAGTAATTTTTTGATGAATAGATAAAAATCATAACAGTGGCAGATTATCCGTGTACAAGGCCAAAGCGAAAGGCATCGATTCAGAAGCAAGTTCTGGAGTCTCTTTTTTGACTAACTAGAAGGGAACTTCCTATTGCTGGACATTTGAGAAATTGGTACTCGTGGAGAAATCAATTCTGTAAGTGAAGAAGACAATTTCTGTGGATTTTCAATACAAGTATTTTCCTAAATATTTTCTAGTTAGGTTTTCTGTTTTTTGTGAGAGAATTTTGAAATAATAGATATTCCGTGCAGTGGACTGCAAGAAGCGAATCGATCTATTAGCCCACACGGTCAACCATTAGACTTTTAGACTTTTTTTATGGGGATATTTAAAAACTAAGTGTTCCTAGCTACACTAAGATCTCAGGAAGAGCCGCTTGAAAGAATTGTAGATGAATGGAGCTATGCTGAAGAATGCCAGAAGAGACTTTGATGCTCTACTACTCCATAAAGGAAGATGGTGACCACATTGAGCAATTGATTTAAATTGTTTGATACAGACTTCCGCAAAGAAATAAAAGAAAATTATTTGCCACACTGAAAATATCTGAGTCAAGTATCCTATAAAGCTAAAGAAATAAAAAAAATAAATTATTTGCCACACTGCAATTATCTGGATCAAGTATCCTAAAAAGCTAATTGCTCACCATGAAAATAGTCAATTTTAAGTTCGCAGTCTTAAAGGTATAACAAAGACCTTTAAAAGGAAGTACCACTTAACTCGCCTTCCATATCTAAACTTTAAGGCTGTCCTTTTGTAAGTTACGCCCTATAGTGGTATTGCATACAACTATCATAACAAGTGTAAAAGTATCGAATAATTTAAAACTAAATACTAGATACTTTTTACCAAAGTTCTGGATTCCTCCTGCGTCGATTTTTGCTGAGTCGAACTTGCTAACGTCTCGTCAATCATCATGTTGGCTTCTTCAGAGCTTGACTGAACAGTTTCAGACGCAGGAGGAATCCAAATATATATATAATATATATAAATATATATATATATATATATATATATATATATATATATATATATATATATATATATATATATATATATATATATATATATATATATATATATATATATATATATATATATATATATATATATATATATATATATTGAATGAATTGAAAATATTGTAAATTTCTAAATCTGATCTGATCACGTCTTATATCATTTAAACAATAATTGCATTGTCTCTTTCTTTCGTTTCAAGTACTCGGTAAACACTCTCAACAAATCTGCTATAAAAAGCGGTCAAACAAATTAAAGCCAATAAAGTTCCAATAAGCTCAAAGCTCGCACACACTGCCACTGCCACCCGAAGCATCATCAACTGTACTTCGATTACAGTGGGTACTTTTACGGTACCAACTGGTTCGGCCGTGATCATGAATTTGAAGCAAGGTTCCACGGTATTCTTTACTGGCACGGTTGATTTCGCTTATAAAGAATGGGCGGGTTATCTCCTTGAGATAGTATTATAAAAGTAGTTAAGCTTCCATTCTCCCTTTATCAAAATATTAATATGCCAAACAGCAACAATTTTTGTTTTACTTTCTAAGATTAGCAAGTAAACGGTAACAAATCTCTTTAGACTACTTGTTCCACGGATATGGAGAGCAGTACTGGGGGACGGCTTGGGCGGAGCGGGTACCAAGAAACCCGTGCTCATATATCTAAAAGGTACTGGATCAACTTTCAAGATTTTCAAAAATCAAGAACTGTCCCTTACAATTCGTAATCATTGTTAAAGCGTACCGCGAAGAGTGGAAAGGAAGGTCACAACTCCGACGGATTTGACATCGCCAAATCGACGTACGTTACAGTCAAAGACGCCACTGTAACGAACCAGGACGATTGCGTGGCTATCAATAATGCGCAACATGTCACCATTGGCAATTTCCACTGCATTGGAAGTCACGGGTTCGACATAGCAGCGGGAATGTCATCCGATTACGACCAAAACGTCGTTCAGAATGTTACCTTCTCCAACTCAATTTTATATGGAGGAATGTACGGATTATACATTTTAGCAGTCAATGATGGAGGCAAAGGCAAAATAGATTACATTAACTACAATAATATTAAAATAAACGGTGAGATTGAAGTTCCAGAAAACTTCATCAAATTCTATCAACTCGTCTAGAAGATGTTTTGTTTTTGCGATCGTGTAGATTTGATGCATCTTTTTATATAACGGACTCCTTTAACATTAATTTTGTTACATAACATACTATTTTAATTACATTTTGCTTATTCTTGATTCAGGACCGTCCGATTACGGTGTGATGATCCGACAATATTTCTCTAATACACAGCAGGGATCTACGGGACATCCTACAGGAAATGTTCCGATTAGCAATGTCGACATTAAAGGCGTTACTGGAACAATGAACGGACAATACTCGTCGGCTGTAACCATCAGTGCCAAAGCCAAGGACGATTGCAAAAACTTTTAACCTACTGGTTACACGTATAACACAGGGATACGGTAGAATATTAAATAACCGTTTTATAATATATCCTTTGCACCTGAAAATGATGATTTATTTGTTGATTGACCCATTATTAGTGTCTACTCTAAAACAGATCGACAATATATTACTTTAACCTTATCGAGCAGCATCGCTTGCCGACGTCTAGACATATCTAATAATCGTCCTGTTCTGATTGTTGATGTAATGTAAAATGTAAAATAATTAAGGATTTCTGCGTCCACAACCATGAAGATATAGCGAAAGAGGTTTTTGAACAATGGTTCATAGATTGTTTTCTATCTAACATTCCTCGTAATAATATAATAAGTCGTCCACTACATGAGGTCCGGATGCATATATAAGGTTTTAGAAGTCTTAAATCAGTGTATACAGTGCTTCCTAGAAAAGCATGGCTATCACGCGGTTATAGGACACCATAAAGAAGATTGTTAAATTAGAAGAAAAATTCCAAAGTTAAAAAGTTAAGAACGTGTTGTTGGGAAAACTATGAAATTCTTATCACTTTCGTAGATACGCCAAATAAAGGTTACTTTCCCATTACCACTTTTTGAGTTCTACAAGATAGCGTTGAGAGATTTTAATTGTAGCGGTTAAAAATTTGATTATTAAATTTTTACTTCATTTTTTACCTATTCTTCATTGCAGGGTTTATTTGCGGTTAAAACTGGTTTCATCAAGGCCTGCTTGGGATTTGTAGTTAATATACCAAAAATGTTTATACTCGGTTATTTTCTCTCTAGGTAGTTATTTAAATACATACGCCCAGCTTCAACTGCGCCACTATAGCATGAGATATAACATTGTTAAGTCCAGCCAGAGCAATTGTGCTGTTACGTCATAGCATGACATCTTTATTCAGTTCATTGCTGGATATCGTAAATTGACACGGATTTCAAAACTGTGGAACAAAATTCCTCTGTCAAGTTACCAATGTTATATCTCATGCTAGGGTAACGCCGTTGACGCTGGGTTTATGCAATTAAATAACTATCTAGAGAGAAGACAACCGAATAAAAACAATTTTGGTAAATTAACTACAAGTCTTAAGCAGAAAATGCGTTTATGGAACCAGTTTTATCCATAAATAAACCCTGCAATTAAGAAAAAGTAAATAATAAAGAAAAACATAGTTTTCACATCATCACGTTTTTAAATTTTAATTTTTTTAACTTTTCTTCTAATTTAACAATCTTCGCATCTCTTATGGTTTCCAATAACTCCCCAATAGTCATGCTTTTGTAGGACACATTGATTTAAGACATCTAAAACCCTGTATTATTGCATCCCGGAACCTTATGTAGTGGACGATTAGTGATAGCTCGCACTGTCCATTACTATAACATTATTATGAGAGAATGTTAAGTAGAAAGCAATCCATAAGAAATTGTTCAAAAACTTCTTTCGTTGTATATTCATGGTAGCGGACGCAAAAGTATTTAATTATTTTACAGATAAGTCATAAAGTATTTGTTACTAAATCGTGTTATAACCCGGCATGAAAAACTGTAGCCCTTCCATTTATTAGATGGAGCTGTTGTTCCACATTCTACTCCTTCCTGAAGAACCATATCTTCCTTTGGATGAAGTTTCATGAGTGTCAAATCTTGTCTCCTCGTGGGAAATAAAGAACGGTATTTTATATAACTGTTATATACGTATGTCGCCATTTTTGTGATCGACGGGAATGCATAAGTCTATTTTGTAATGTGTAAAGGCCACTTCAAGAAGGCTAGTAATACTTTTTCAAATTTCTGGGACTATCGTTTTCCTAATACAATACCTCGTTGTTCTTACCGTGACACCCGGTGCTAATCGCAGGTTCTCAAAATATTAGTTCTCATCCAACAAAATTGTAGTGATGTGTATATTACTTAACGAGCCTGGTGGATACGGGCAATTATATTTTCTTTTACAATAGTTTGTGGATGCTGCATCCCCTTATACCAAAGCAAGAAATAAAACAGTTTTTAAATATGACAGTTTCCGGGTATAATGAGTGAAAGCAAGAATCGATATATTGTAAACAGTTTATTTAATATTATTCCGTATTCACGTGTTACATGTGTAACCAGTTGGTTGGAAGTTCTTGCATTCGTCCTTGGCTTTGGCACCGGTTATCGAAAAACCTGACTCAAAGACGATGTTCGAACACGCCGCACATCTGATGGTTACAGCCGACGAGTATTGTCCGTTCATTGTTCCGGTGACGCCTTTAATGTCGACATTGCTGATCGGAACATTTCCTGTAGGATTTCCCGTAGATCCCTGCTGTGCGTTAGAGAAATCTTGTTGGATCATCACACCGTAATCGGACGGCCCTGGATCAAGAATAAGTAAAATGTAATTAGAACAGTACACAACAACAACAAAATTAATGCTGGTGGGTTCCGTAACATAAAAAGAGTCATTAAATATAAAAGATCGCAAAAACAATACATGTTTAGACATTGAAAATTATTGATAAAATTTTCTGGAATGTCAATTATGTTGAATCATAATCAATCTTACCATTTATTTTAATATTATTGTATTTAATGTAATCTATTTTGCCTTGGCCTCCATCATTGACTGCTAAAATGTGTAATCCGTACATTCCTCCATCTAAAATGGAGTTGGAGAAGGTAACATTCTGAACGCCGTTTTGGTCGTAATCGGATGACATTCCCGCTGCTATGTCGAACCCGTGACTTCCTATGCAGTGGAAATTGTCAATGGTGACATGTTGCGCGTTATTGATAGCCACGCAATCGTCCTGGTTCGTTACAGAGGCGTCTTTGACAGTAACGTACGTCGATTTGGCGATGTCAAATCCGTCGGTGTTGTGACCTTCCTTTCCACTCTGTGCGGTACCCTTTAAGAATAATTACGAATTATAAGTTTAATTATACATAGCGCTGTTGCAACTTTACCGGAGCACCTTCGGCATTATCGATGGTAAAGCCGCTTACGACCACGTTGCTCGATCCGTCGATAGCGACGCATCTCAACGGGCAGTTCTTGATTTTGAAATTCTTGAAAGTTGATCCGGTACCCTTTAAGTATATGAATACGGGTTTCTTGGTACCCGCTCCGCCCAAACCGTCCCAGTACTGCTCTCCATGTCCGTGGAACAGGTGACCTAGAAATTTTTGTTAATGTTTACTTGCAAATCTCCGAAAGTAAAACAAAAATATTTACATACATTACACATTATATTTATACTACTAATGTAAAACTTACTTCCTGTACCCTCGACAGTGACTGAGTTTCCAATGATCTCCAGGAGATATCCCGACGATTCTTTATGAGCGAAATCAACCGTGCCAGTAAATGATACCGTGGAACCTTGCTTCAAATTCATGATCACGGTGGTACCAGCAGGTACCGTAAAAGTACCCACTGTAATCGACGTACAGCTCGATACAACACTATCTACATCATTAACCGAGTTGATGGTACAGGATGCGTCTGGTGTGGGCAAGCTTTGAGCTCGCAACACTGCGAAACAAACCGTTAGGGCTAGCACTTTGAACGCCATATTGCTTTTGGCTATTAGAACACTGGCTTCAATTAATTTTGACCGCCTTTTATAGCAGATTTGTTGAGAGTGGTTGTTTACCGAGTACTTGAAACGAACGAAAGAAACAATGCAATTATTGTTTGATTGTTATAAGACGTGATCAGGCACTTGTTTTAAAATTTACGATATTTTCAATTGATTTGTGCAGATTGTCGGATGAGTATCCGGGACAAAGTAAATTTTCATTCACGCACTATGATGTGTCAAATGATGCAAAGCTTTGAAACTAGTTCATGGTGTATTATACAAATGAAGTAATGAAGGAGGAGAGTAAAAGATAGTTTTTTGATATTTTTACCTGAAGGTAAGTGTAGTATTGTGTAACTGAACATTTACATATTTATTGTTATGGTGTAAGGTATACTTGCACACAATACCACTACAGGGTATAGCTTGATTTTCTGGAAAAGTTAGGGAAAGATAGGAAAGGCAGGATAAGTGGCATCCCTTTTTAAAGGTCTTTGTAATACCTTTACGGCAAAGTTAATACTTTAAAATTTACTTTTTTCCATATTGCTGCAAATGTTAAAATGGAGCAAACAAAAAACAATTTTGCTTGCTCTTTTCTTACATGGAGGATCTACCATTTTTATGTTTTTTGTCTATTCATCAAAAAATTACTCTCAGCAACACAAAGTTCTATGAATTACATGGATTCTGTGATAGCTCTGAAGGTGCTAAAACCGTTGCGATTTATGTACGAGAAGTATTCATATACTGCATGTCCAAATAAAAATTATTTTTTGCCATTTCCACTTAACCTCACTTTGAAGAAATTATTATGCAAGAATTCTCACGATTGTGTTGTTTTTAAAGCCAGGAATTTGTAGGTAATTATAATGTAAATAAATATATTTAAGTTTTTATTTAAAATATTATAATTCTTACGCAAATATACTGTAAATGTTGCTATTGCACTCCGATTTTCAAGAAAACAGTCTTTTAAATTATGGTCTGACGAAATTAATTTTCTCGTGACATCCTGAATTTCGGGTATTAGCAACTCTTGAACAAAATTAAATTGAACCAATGTTAAAATTTGTGCTGAAGAAATCTGCAGTTTTACTGTGCTCTCTTAATTATGAAACACCCTGTTTTCCGCATCTCCTCAATATCATTTTATTTTCTTATTAGTTAAATTAATTTAGCATTTGGTATTTTCATTTCATTACATTCTGATTCCGGTAGGTACTAGCTAAGAAAGCTGACAAGTTCGATTCAATTTACTATGAAACGTAAGACAGCTTCTTGCCAAAATCGTCGAAATATTCAACAATACGTCAGCGAATAATTTTGAAACAAGCCGCCATTTTATTGCTACTAATACACGGATAAGTGGTTGAGTCATACTGGTTGTTCAACAACGGTGTACAGCGACAGAGGCTAACTGCTGCTTCGAGTA